AATTTTAGCTATTAATTAAGAACGCTCTTCTTTAACGTCGTTGCGAATTCCTGAAGGCGTCGGTGGTGCCATCTCTAGTGACATTAGAGCAAGATATGCTCAATTTACTGACGATTCGATTGCTTATTTGTTAAATCTCCCACAACCTACAAAACGGCTATCTGTGTTAGCCGGCCTCAATTTTTAATTGATAGCCTAGAAGAAAGGCACCTAATCAACTCCATCCACCAACTCTTGGGCTACCTTTTTCAGAGCAAATATTGAGATTTAACTGTCAGTCTTATAACGCGCCCATGGTCCCAAAGTGCGAAGCGCGATTTTCTTTTTTCTTTAAATAGACGCAATTTACGGTACCTCAGTTCCACCTTATAGCACGCTAACCACTAGTTTGCGTCTCAGTCCTCACCCGTTAAGACTGAACAAAGAACATAGTATCTTCATTTTTCTTAATGCCTTCAACCGGTTTTGCAAGATGGAATATTTTATCAGGATCCTTTCAAAATATCTCAATCAGAACCATGATGATGATGATTAGAATATTTGTACAAATATAAAAGTGCTATTAGTTATTGGTGAATTATTGACATATCTTGTATATAAATATACACTTTTGGGTGGGTTTTCGGATGAATAAATTCACTAATTGCAAGATAGTGTAGGCAATAAATATCATATTCCTATTCAAACATGTATAGACATGACTGACAGGATATAATTGTAATTTCCTAAAAAAATGTTGAGTTTTATGAAATGTGTTCTGATGCTTTGGTTAATTAATAGTTTACATACTACTCAGTAATAGCTGAAAAATACGAAACGTAACTAGACACAATGACAACACCTGCTGCTTTTTGTTTGTGATAAATAACTTAGTTGAAAAATACGAAACGTAACTAGACACAATGACAAGCCCCCAGTGGCACAGCGGTATGTCTGTGGACTTACAACGCTAGAATCCGGGTTTCGATACCCGTGGTGGGCATGGTACAGATAGCCCAATGTGCAGCTTTGTGCTTAACTACAGACAAACAAACACAATGACAACACCAGCAGTGTTTTGGTTGTGATAAATAACAAAAGCAGAAGCTTGATAAGGATTTAAGACTAAAAATTGCGGCCCGGTATGGCCAGGTGGATAAGACGCTTGACTCGCAATCTGAGGGTCGCGGGTTCTAATCCCCGTCCCACCAAACATGCTCGCCCTTTCAGCCGTGGGGGCGTTATAATGTGACGGTCAATCCCACTATTCGTTGGTAAAAGAGTAGCCCAAGAGTTGGCGGTGGGTGGTGATGACTAGCTGCCTTCCCTCTAGTCTTACACTGCTAAATTAGGGACGGCTAGTGCAGATAGCCCTCGTGTAGCTTTGCGCGAAATTCAAAAACAAACAAACAAACAAACTAAAAATTGCTACACCATTTGTATTAATAGTAAAGTCGCTGTCGATATATTCTGGATATGCTTTCTTTAGTTCTGTTTACATTGTGTCGAACCCGGGTAAACCGGACGTGACCTTATGGTTAGCGTTGTTAGGCTGTGAACCCAAGAATTCATTGGTAATGATCCCTTGTCGAAAAAAAAACAAAACAAAGAAGAACTCACTTCAACTGTTTGGGCTGTGGGTGCGTTATAACAGAGACAATCAAATTCCACTCTTCCATCAGACAAGTGTAACCAAAAAGTTCTTCTTTGAAGGTAGCTTTAGGTGTTGAAGTCTACATCTGAAGAAGGACTCAGCACAGATTGAGCATGGAGCCAGAAATTTTATCACAAACAAACACAAGAAAGAAACAGACCACAAATAACCTTCTTTAAATAACCCAAGAATCGGCGGTGGGTGTTGTTGACTAAGATAAATTCACCCTAGTCTGTCAGTTCAAAATCAGAGACAGCCATGCGCGAAAATTTTGAAGCAAACAAAATGTTGGATATTGTTGTTTTTTTTTCCTATTAACGTATTCATGAACCATCACATCCGGCATATTTTTCTATCAAAGTTGTTACGAGTTTCATAGTTTTTACGAATTATTCCAGTTACTTAAATGCGAATTTTCTGATGGAGGGCCAGCATTACAAAAACAAAGAAAATTGCAACACTGCGAGGAAGCAATCAGAGCAGAATTTTTCCAAAAGAAAAATCCCAAGGTGAAGGATACGCCCATGTAAATAACATGCAAAGAACGTTTAATGCTTTTGAAAAAAAAAAAAAAAATTATAAAAACAAGTACCACTGTCAATCAGTATTGAATTACGACGTGTAATAAGATAATCTTGTAAATGCTCATTCAATAAATATAATACCTCTATAGTTTGAGTGTCTTATGTCGCGATTTCTTTATAATGTTGCAAGAGTCGTAACTCTTGCGATTAACGTTTCTGATGTGCTATGAAAGTGGACTTCTGCAAGCTGAGAATATTTCGTGAAGATCAAACGTTCAGAGGCGTCATGTATCGATTTTTACCGAATCGATAAACGTCAGTCCGGGGCCGTCATCTAATTTGTGATATCTACTTTTTCATTAGTTTTTCCGAGTTCTCTCAGCGTAGATAGGCTGGGAGGGGGGGGGGTTGTTCTCGATGTATAATGAACAGAAACTGAACAATCAACCTTTGTCAATTAGCGATGCTGCTACTTTAATATAACATCAGAAATATGTTGCATTTTTGAAAATATCCAACAGACTGATTATAGAATACCACGTTCGTGTGTTGACCTTCCAGGGACGTTCTTGTTTATAGTTTCTTAACAGTAACCACGTGATTAAAAAAATTGTAGTCTGTTAAAGTTAGAAAAATAGTTTTGATAAACTGTTTGTTTGAAATTAAGCACAAAGCTACACAATGGGCTATCTGCGCTCTGCCCACCGCGGGTATCGAAACCCAGTTTCTAGCGTTGTAAGTCCGCAGACATACCGCTGTGCCATTGGGGGGCGATAACCTGTTATATTATTTTCGCATTATTTTTAATTTTTAAGCTTTCGTACCAAAGTCATCGTGAATACGAAAGGATATTTAAATTTATTAATAAGAACTTCTGAGTAAAAAAAAAGAAAAAAAGAAGAATATCGTGTAATGATATCTTCGGATTCACACTCCAGTGTTATTATCATAATTTTGGGCCAGGTGGTTATGGTGCTTGGCTAGCAATCTGAAGGTCGCGGGTTCGAATCCTTGTCCCACCAAACGCCCTTTCAACCATGGGAGTGTTATAATGTGACGGTCAATCCCACTATTTGTATTTCAAGTATATTTTATAATTACGTAATAACTATAATTGAAATTATGGTTTGATGTGAATTTCGCGCAAAGCTACACGAGGGCTATCCGTCCATAATTTCGCAGTGAAAGACTAGAGGGAAGGCAGCTAGTCATCACCACCCACCGCCAACTCTTGGACTACTCCTTTACCAATGAATAGTGGGATTGACCGTCACATTATAACGCCCCCACGGCTGAAAGGGCGAGCATGTTTGGAGTGACGGGGATTCGAACCCGCGACCCTCAGATTGCGAGTCGATCGCCCTAACCACCTGGCGGAAGACGAAGAAATGATATATAAAATAATTTGTTAAATAGATAAACTCACACACTGAGAGAGACAGGAAAAGAAACATATTAAAAAAATTAATAAATTGATATAAAAAAGTAAAAAATGAGTACTAAACTTATTTTTGTTTACGATTTTTATAGTTATCGTTGGTATAACCTTCATACGCACTGTTTTTGGAACACAGTAAAGTTTATAAAAGAACAGATGTTTTTTGAAATTAATAACCGTGTCATTCTATAAAATTAATTTATTATTTTTAGTAAAGACTATGGATAAGTTCTGCTTCATGAAGTAATATTATAATACCTTTACATTGTCGAAAAATGATATAAGAAATATACCTCCCTCCCCCCCGCTTTCCGGTATCTAACGAAAAATTTTCGGACTCATACGCAAAAATCAGGGCTTTATCACCTGCCGCGGAGGGCACAGGCAAGATAGCCCATTGAGTAGATTTGCGCCTGACAACGAAAGAAGCAATAACCTACTGTTCTTGAGCGTGGAAAAAAGAAACTGGTTTGAGAGTATGAATTACCGATACCTGGTGGTATGATTAGTCGATTGTTTGTCATCAGAGCTCGAGTCTTAAAATACTTTAAAATCACTCTATATGAGTTTCAAGCTTATATTTTAATTTTAAAAACACGTTTAGGAGACGTTTTCAATTTAGAGAATGTTCGTATTTGAAACCTGTGAGTGATCTTTGCAATGTTTCAAACAGATGATATTAAGCATTTAAATAAACAAATGTTTCTAAGTGTGAAAAATATGATATAGTTCTCTGATGTTCTAATTACGGACTTAGAAAAGCTTGTATACGCGAGTTTACAAAAGCTGAAACGTTGTACTCATTTAGTTTTTGATCGAATTTGTTATGTTGTTTCACACAGTTTGCCGTTATGAATTAAATTAACTCATTACTAGGTGGCAGCACATTTATCACTTAAACTCTGGCGATAATCCACAAGACATTTATATGATCTCCACTATTGAGATAGTTTACTGGTATAATTATTATATGATAACTGATTATATTTCTCTTATTTTAACAGGTTGTCCGTTATTCAAGAACGACGTCTTCACGACTATATACGACAAGATAACACAGTTCTTCAGTCACTGGGTTTTCTACTAAGAATTACAGCTAGAAAATTTGTCGATTTCTAACAAAAGTTACATCTGGTCTACATACTACTGTATTTATTTCCAACGCAAGTAACAGTAACTTCTTAACCATTGCTTATTTGATTCTCTTCCTCACGTAGGAGTTAATTCTTCACCTCGATTGTCGAATACTTCCTATTGTTTCATTATTTCCATAGAAGGTTTATAAAATTTAGTGATAGGTTATCCACAAAACATATCTTAAAAGGTTAGAAGTAATAAGAAAGTATACGGAACATATCGTTCCATCAGTATTAAGGTCCTCTACATGCAATAAGTCAGAGGTACCATGACAAACATAGGAAACCTTACTAGTTTTAAACATAATGACTCCAACTCGGAATTCAAGGCAGTATTTGGACCTGACTATCATCGAACGGTTCGAATTGTCATCATCGCTGCAATGATTGCTGTCTCCCTAACAGGAAACCTTGTGGTTTGTTGGAGACTTCTCGTCTCTCAACGGGGTCGTCACTCAAAACCCAAGGTGCTGTTCCTTAATCTCGCTATAGCGGATCTACTGGTTACCATGGTAACCATGACAGCTCAGGTAGTGTGGGAAGTGATGGGTAGATTATGGATAGCAGGGGATATTTTTTGTCGCTTTTTTAAACTGCTCCAGACATTCGCTCTCGTGTCATCTACGTATATGTTGGTCAGTATTGCGCTGGATCGCTATTACGTCATAGTATATCCTCTAAGCCCGTGCGTTTCCTCTTGGAAGCTTGCTTTGATTGCTTGGTCTACTTCTCTTATTCCTTCAATTCCAAATCTTTATATTTTTCGTGAAATTGAAGTAGACAAAAACCAGAGTTTTTGCAGCTCCCTCTTTTATACCGGGAAATATCCTCGCTATCATCGCCAAATATATATGGCTTTTATTTTTTTAACAGTATTCATCATTCCTTTTTGCCTTCTGGTTGCGCTGTACTCACGCATCTTATTGGAAATATGGCACCAGTCTTCAGCCGTGAAAAACCGCCAGCAGACAGGATCGTCCCTTCCTCGTGCAAAAGTGAAAACACTGAAGATGACTATGGCAATTTTCGTCGCCTTCATGATTACAAATTTACCGTACGTCATCCAAGAGATGGTTCTGGCCTTTGGGAACCCAAAGGCCTTGGATGTAAATATGGTGGCGCTGTTTGGTGTTATTTCAGCCAGTAATAGCGCCATCAATCCTTGTATATATTTGGTGTTCCAGTCCCAATCAAATGCATGGAATCGTTTCAGTTCTTGTTTAACAACAATGAAGAACAGAAGTTTGTTAAGAATCCGATCCTGGCGGACAAGGTTTTCATACAGAACCACATCATTTACAAGCTTTCGTCAGAACACTCATAATTTTACGCATGCGTTCGATGTTCCTCCTATCGCAGACCCCGAGACAATACAGCTTACTATTATCGCACATAATAATCCGTTGATAAGGTGAAAAATTCGTTTGAATATAAAGGTTTTTTCTTAAATTTCGAGTTTTTGCTTCCCATGTATAAAAAAAAAAAAAACAAGTTCGAAAGTCGTATATAATGTTTAATATGAACTTCATGGTAACATACTTTAAAGTATGCTAACGTGATGGCTTTTGTGATCAAATTTATTCGTACACTTTATTTTTCTGGAGTTATTATGTAAACATGTATCCAATCAATGGTGCTTTATGTATATTTTAAAAATTGTGCTGATTCTTTCTTTGAATAAACCAACTGGTTAATGCCATTCCAAAAGAAAGTTTATTTTGTACTCTATAAAAAAAATTGTTTGTTGTTAAGTATCGCCCACTACAAATATCGAAACCAGGATTTTAATAATATAAGTGTTCAGACTTACCGCTGAGCTACTGGAGGACAAACACTCAAAATCGATTTGCTGTTTATAAATTACTGTATTAAAGTTCTATGGAGATTTATATTTAATCGTTTACTAAATAAACTTACAAATCCTAAAACAAAACCTATGAATTTCAACTCCAAATTTCTTTAAAAAAATAATTTTATTATATCTTTCTTAAGTGTAGTATTATGGGTATATATATATATATATACAGAAACTAACTTATAATAGAAAATATATTAAAGAATGTTCAGATTTTCCGCTGGTTTGGACAAACGAAGGAACCGTCGTGAATTTCTTGTAGCCCAAAATTAGATCATACGTGAAGGATTCTAGCATAACTCCATTTTTGAACCTTCAAATTACCAATTTCGTTGTATAGCGTTTATTACCAGCCTGGCCCAGTCATTTTATATTTTTGCCTATGACAACATTCAATGTGAAGAACTGGCCAAAAAAAGAGGATGAAATCAGTAAAAAAAACTGCTTTAATTAGTGGGATTTATTGTCACGATATTTTCGATTACATATTTTTAGATGACTCATGTTATTACGAGAAATGTGATCAATAAATTCATGGACCCACAAGCAATTTGGTGTCAAATAGTTTATAAGAAATGTGTCTTAAAAGCCTATGAGTTTCATATGAACCCTCACCACCAGTTGTTTAGGCTTAACAAATAAAAGTATCTTCCCAGTCTGACATTCCACCAATGACCAACATCCGCAACAATGTGTCGATAACACTTTGAAAGTAGATTGTTTAACTTAACCAAGCTATGTATTTGAAAATATATGCAAACAGAACGACCCATTACCTGATAATTGATTATATTTTCTATAATGTCAATTAAATTTTACAAGTTCCGCCAGTTGGCCTAACTAACATTAACCAATTTCTATTGGTCAGCATAGATTTAAAATATCTAATAATCTTCGTTTTTTTTTTAATTCAAATTTTTTTTATAGGACATATTTTCTATATCTATAAGAATTAATCATAAAACTGTCAATCACAGTATATCATTAGAATATTTTGGCAACATTTCAGAACTTCTATTGTCTTTTGTCCTCGCATACAGCTTTTATTTTAACACTTCCAAAGCTTATTATTAAAATATAAAAGATTCTTTCTTGGTTTTAAAACTTCCGACGTTTATCAAAAACACATCTTCATTTACCAAAATATGCATGGCTGTTTTCAAAGAAAGATAAAAAAATACGTTTATTTTATAAATAATTAATGACTATTTATATACGTTTTCCTTAGAAACTTGTCACAAAGTATTGAGACACGTGATTTACTTCTAAACGTATACATCGTGCGCATTATGAACATTTACTTCAAACTGTCATTGTACTAAAAAGCGTCAGTTGTTGAAAAACCCCAAATTCAAGAACCCCGAAGAACAAACGATAACCATCACATCAAAATCGCTTGAGTTTTAAGCGTTTGAAAACTTCTTGGGGATACTTATTTTTGATTTCTGCATTTAATACCTCTTGATAGTTATATATTTTTAATTTTAACAAACAACTTACTATTTCAGCAGAAAAGCTAACAGGTATATGAAATAGGTATTCTTTACTTCCATACTTGATTAACAAGTAACTTACTATTTCAGCAGAAAATCTAATAGGTGCATGAAATAGGTATTCTTTACTTCCATACTTGATTAACAAACAACTTACTATTTCAGCAGAAAAGCTAAAAGGTATATGAAATAGGTATTCTATACTTCCATACTTGATTAACAAGTAACTTACTATTTCAGCAGAAAAGCTAAAAGGTATATGAAATAGGTATTCTTTACTTCCATACTTGATTAACAAACAACTTACTATTTCAGCAGAAAAGCTAAAAGGTATATGAAATAGGTATTCTATACTTCCATACTTGATTAACAAGTAACTTACTGTTTCAGCAGAAAAGCTAATAGGTATATGAAATAGCTATCCTTGAAGGTACATAATAAACTACTCACAGCACTTTCTCTAATGCCATTTTCTTTTAGATAATCTCCAACAAAAACGTAAACTTTGCCAATGCTTTTTCCGCCTTAAGAACGTTGCTACATGGAACAAATCTCATCCTAAACAAAGTGGTTTAAAGCTCAATCAATAGCCCAACTTCAATCTCAGAGTTGACGTGATATAAGAGATATGTCAAGATCACTAAAAGTTAAACCATCTTGACGAGTTCCAATTCCACCGATGATTCATTGGATAAGTAAAATAACATCTGGTCTAGCAAAGTAAACAGATCAAATTATCCTCGAATGACTGTAACCGATTATTATTTTTCGGTGTAGATTTCAACCCTTAAAGGCCGTTAGTTTCTATTCTCTCTTTTTGCAAGGAAGTATCCACTTTTATCGAATCTATACTGAAAGGAATTTATGTCTGCAGCTCCCAATTGTAAAAAAAAAAAAAAGGTTATTCATGTATGTTCGTCATTATATGATTGGTCTGGCGTTATTGAAAGTTCAGGAAATATAATGAGTTCTAGTTATACCAGGAGACGAATTTTAACAAGGTATAAAATCGATATGGCAAATTGAGGTTCGTGTAACAGCTCAACAGTGTCCTAGTTTGCTAGTAACGTCATATTTGATTTGTACATTCGCGAGTCCTAGTTTTGTAGTAACGTCATATTTGACTTGTACATTTACATTGTGTCATCTTTAGTTTTGCTAGTAATTTCATGTTTGACTTTTAAGTTCGCATTGTATTATCATTAGCTGTTAATTTTGAAAATCATAATCTTTCTTCAAAAGGAAATGGTTAAGTTAATAAAAACTGATGTGTAGAATCTATGAATTTCTCACATCTTCAAAACTTTATATATCAAACAACAGGAAGTTTTGGAAATGTATTTTCAAAATCCTACCCGTTAAGTTTGAAGGATTATTTTCGTCTTGTTATTTATAAAATCATTTTCATTTTATTAGTTTTATCGCCTTTAAGATAGCAATTCCTAGCTGGGGGAACAATGTTTTTTTTTAACATTTCGTTATTAAACTGTCTTAATTAACTTTGTTAAGACGTAGCTTTTTTTGTACTGTTTAACTATAATTCTTATTTAGGAATATTTATAACTTTATGTAAATTGTTAAACACATTTATTTTACTTCATGGATTATTTCAAATAATAACAGTCTAAGAAATAGCGCTCTCCTGTGGCAGATATATAACTTAGGTAATCATTGTACTTTGATCTCCCTCAGCTGATCAAAATATTCCACTTTAAATCGCTAATTTCAATGTTCTGAAGTCTGCATGCACGCTTGAGCCGCATATGTTATATATTGAAAGAGTCCTCTTGTGGAGATTTACAGAACTATTTTATGCTTTTGAAATAGGTGGTACACTCTTTCAAGCAGTTACACCTACGTAGGTTATCTGCGCTAGCTATAGTAATATAGAAAGTTCTAATGCTTTCTTGTTTCAATAAGTTTTGTAGCATTAAAACTTTCTGTATTGCTATAGCTAGCTAGGTAACGTATGTATCGGTCCCTACTTGTTTTTATAAAATGACCCCCGGTGGGACAGCGGTAAGTCTGCGGATTTACAACGCTAAAATCAGAGGCTCGATTCCCCTCTGTGGACACAGCAGATAGCCCGATGTCGTTTTGCTATAAGAAAACACACACACACACACAAACTTTATAAAATAAAAACTAATTTTTATTATACTTGTGACAACATGTTTTTGCGTCATCTAGTGGCAGCTGCATAAACTACTAAATAATATATTTCCGCTTAACAAACATTATTATTAATTTTTGTTTTTAATTTGATTGACTTTAAAAGAATCAGAAAATAATTCATACCATTTTATTGGATATCACATTATGCGAAAGTTCGCCCCATAATGGTAATTAAGCATTTGTTTGTTTGTTTTCAGAATATTTTAATATCCAAACGTTTGAAATGTTTTGATACTTTAAGAATTATTGGAGTTTTAAATCTCTACAGCGTTTGTTTAAATTTCTCTCTTTCATTTTTTTAAAGAAACATGCTGAAACACTTGGTTTCAAGTAGGGTTCAAAATGATAGGTTTTAGTGAAGATATATGAAAGCGTTGTAGTGTAATAGAATTATGTAAATTACATATTTCTACCGAGTTGAAAAAAGTAATCAGACATCAAAGAACAACATTACTTAGGTTTAGCGATATTCGCGCACAAAGGATTTCTGTGCTAGCCATACATAATTTTCAACTGAGACTAAACAACGTTTGGGCTACTCTTGTCAGATAGAATAATAAGTTTTGACTATCATCTTACAACGTACCCACGTCCCTAAATACACTGTGGTAGCGAATTCTTTATGACGGTAATGAGACGCGGGAACCTAAGTTACACAGCCCTGCTCCCTAACCAGTGGAATTCTATTAGAATTTATTTTAAAAACTAAGGTAGGGAAATTATTCTCATTTCTGGTGAAAATTCTAATTATGGCTTTTTTGTTTAAGTTAAACATAAAGCTACACAATGGGCTATGTGTAATGTTCTGCCCACCACGGGTCTCGAAACCCGCTTTCTAGCGCTGTAAGTCCGGATAAATACCGTTGTGCCACTGGGAGGGGGGGGGGTCTAA